ATAATACTCATTTACTCCACTTAGATCCTTGATTCTCCAATTTGGCAGATTAAAATTGTAAGTCCTACATACAAAAATTTATCACTGAATATAATATAGTGTGATATGTGTTGGTAACTAAAAGGTTCTTCTTGTCTTTACAGTTCTTTATAACATATATTTGGAAAGATATGAACCCTGTATAAATCATCATAATTTGCAGAAAGCAGGCAGCATTTTGGGCATTAGTAGAGCTTATAAGAAAACGATTGAATTGCTTTTATTAAAAACTGACTTAAATTTAAGGGGTGGTGGGGACATCCTGTATACATTTTCTAAAGTAATTTTAAGTACATTTCTAGTCCTAAACACTGACAGAAAATAATTGTTTCAAAATTAAGAGTGGAAGTCAGTGGTAGGAAACTGTTTTTCTGCTCTTTAAATAAAACCACCTTCCATAGTTGTAATTTTCCTTTGATGTTTTAGATATGGTCTCCGGATATCTGCAGAACATACAATAGAAAAAAAGTATTCAAAACATTATCCTGAAATGTTCTGTGCACATCTGATAATTTTGCAGTAAACATGGTGAATTTCTCATCTGTGGGTAACAACATACTTTATATAGAATTTTTCTCAACAACTGTAATGATCTCTTGCTCTTCCAGTTCATCCGTTCTTGAAGACTAGTGCCTCTGCTCACCTTGGGATCATTTTGTTCCTTTTTATGTAACACGCTAATCTCTCCATATTCTCTTTTTTTACACTTCTCAAATAAGAGAACATGAGCTGTTCTTTTTTTTTTCTCCCTGAGTGCTCAGCCTTTGATTCCTGTGTCAGATTAACATTCTTATTTCTTAAAAATATAAGGAATGCATCTTGAACTGTACGCTGTTGAATAATCCATCTCACTTACATATTTACAGACAGATTTCTGTTTGTGTAAGTATTCTATATCTAGATTCTCTGGTCACTGATAGATCCCATCTCTAAATTTCACCTTCTTGTCATCCTCTCGTTCAAAATTAGTTGCTGCTGTCCTGCAGCTAGCCTCCCACTTGCATGTTGTAGCTTCAGCTTGAGACATAAAATTCATAAGCTTTAGAGGGACAGTATGCTAGACAAACAAATTAGACAATGTTTAGCAAAGGAACTTCTTACTCATTCTTGAGACAGTTGCTCTGTCTTTTATCTAGACAGTGGATCTTTATCTGCGGTAAGCTGTGCATGTTTGGTTTTGAAGCTCTTGAGCATCTCAAATGCAGTAAGCTCTCTGTGGTACGTTGATCATGAATAGAGATGTGACTGTTTTGTGAGAATTAATCAGAAATAATCTTTCTGAAATTCGTGATCATTATTCCAGTGGTCATTGTTTCAACTGCAGTCTTTCAACAAGGATTCAAATGCCTATCACACACACACACAGTAAATTTGCTTAAAGGTAGTGTAGGTGCACTTTGTGCCTCAAAATGGAAATTACAGATGCCTAATCTACCCAGATGCAAATGCATAACTTTTTCCCCTTCAGAACTTATTGAATCTAAACCATGCTAATGTTCTTTTGCACAAACATCACATAGAATAGATTTTTCTTTGTCTTCTCCTAATTTATTGTGAGTGAAATTGTACACATGAACTACTATAGTTTTTATTCTCTGAGACTTATTATTACTTTTAGCTTAATAATTCAGTTCCTCAAGATTCTGCAAAATTATTTTCCTTATCAGTCTTTACCTCTTTTCTTTCAGAATCTGATAGATTTTCAATGTCATTTTCTTGACTGAATGCAAAAAGAAGTTTCATTGGTGTTATTGTGTTGAGTTTTTGTTTGCTTTTTATTTTTTTCCATGTTTATTTTTCTGATTGCTACCTGTAACACAAAGCATTGTACTAAATTGGTTTGAGAGGCCTCTTGCCTTGCTCCATTTTCTTAAGTAGAAAGGAGAAGTAATAAAAAGATTCCATTGGAAGAACCTTGCATGTAACACTGAATCTGGCTTTATACTGTGGTCTTTTATAAATAAATTTTAAGCATAATGAAGTGAGGAGTTTCTCAATACGTTCATAAGAGCAAGACAGATTTTTTGTTGCTTTTCCCCCCACTGGTGAGTTTGCCCAAGAAATGCAGATGAAAGAAGCATTATTAGAGAAGCTGACGTGACGGGGCTTTGTTGACTTAGGAGTGTACTACCAAGTTCCTAAAAGTTTGTGCAACAAGAAGAATGAAGAATGTTGTTTGTGAGCAAAGTAATGAGAATGTAATGGTGAAAGGTGAACTCAAAGAGCTTCTTGGTATGATGGAAGGTAGGAAAGGATATGGTTGACACAGTAGGAAAGTGTAAGAAGTGTTATTTTAGAAATTACTGATGAGAAATCTGCTAATGAAAAACAGGGGTACTATTTTGATTATATGAAGTAATGCTTGAGAGGTGTATACAATTGCTGTCTACTCTGAGAAGTTTATTTTACTGTTGAATTGAAATGTTCAGGCTAGTAGAGAAGGCTGTTAAATCTTATGAGAGATTAGGAATTGGTCATTTAATCACAGAATCGCAATATTGTAAGGGCTGGAAGGGACCTCTAGAGATGTCCAAAACCCTGACTGTCCCCTCTGTGGACATTGGAACACTTTTAGTAATGAAAAGGCTTTTGTTATACAGAGAATGAGAGAGGTTGGAAGGAAGAAAAGAAAATGGCTGCTATAGTATACATTATATGATGAGAATGAGGAGTACAAAACGATTGGAAAGTTGTCTACTGAGCAACTAAAAACAGTGCTAAAAACAGTGAAGTATGAGAGACTGGGAATCCATGAAGTCACACTATATTACTATCAGAAGTTACCTCAACACCCTGAGAACAAATTGGGATTGTTGTGTACTTAGAACCATCACTTTTAAGTGCTAAGCCTTTTTTTTTTCTATTCAAATCTTCAGGTTATTATTTTTCAGACTTTTTTTTTCAAAGAAGTAGATTGGAAAAGTGGTTATATGAGTCAGTGGACATCACAACCTGTTCCTTATTCTAAGGGTACAGTCATAACGTAAGTTTCTGTAAGCTACCCAAGATGCTGATATATGTCCTCTATCTTTTCTGGATGGGAAATAAGTGTAATTTTTTTTTTATTCACTGAGTGGTACAGCTGTTCAGAAGACTTGAAAAGTGAATCTTGGGTCTTAGAAGTCAGTTCTGAATCCTAGCTAGACATTGATCATGTTTAGACTTTTATTTTTTCTTCTTCAATATGATAATGCAAATCTGCTGTCTCCTAGACATTGAATGGGCTTCTGTGTGAAAAACCAAAGGAACAGGTGCTCTCAAACCTAACTGAAGCTGATATTAGTAGTCTTTGAGAAGAGTAAACAAGAGAAAATCCTTCATAATTGCTTTTGTATTATGACCTAGTGATGAGCATACAAGCTGAATTTTTAGAGCTATGTTCTCTTCTTCTAAGCATTCACACAGGCTTTATTAAAAGCTGAAAACTTGTCCAGAGGTGTAGCTTTCCACAATAGACATCATGCTGAAGCTGACGTTCTCTGCCCTCTGAAACAGAGGTGAAACAGAGTCTTTTGTACATTAACTGGTCATGGAGGACAGTTAACATCAGTGAGGATGGGAGGAGGTTGTGTGTGAGAGGGTTCCCCACCTTTTTTTTTTTTTTTTTTTTTTGTCTTTTTTGAACTTCCTGTATGGAATTTCTATAAGCTGCTCCTCTGTAATTCTGTCTTCTTTGGAATTCTTGTTTGGTTGAAAGACTTATGGTGCCACCTTGTCCTTTGCTGTATTGTTCTGATCATTTGCTTGGGTTTCATCAAGCAGCTTGGGCCATCTTTTCAAGTCTTTCTTCATGACCATAAGGAAGAAGGAAAGTTTTAATGGGGTCTTAAAAACGTGATGTAAACTCAAGATTCTCCACAACTCGTTTTACACAGTAATCTGTTTCTGACAGATTTAGATTTTTGAGATGCTTTATGAAATTCACAGAAGTATCAGAGTAAAGATGGAGGAGAAAATGTATGAAATACAAGTCACATTCTTGATAATTTCTTTAGAAGTAACTGAAGTGCTTTTATCCATTCACTCAAAACAGTATCTTCTTAATTGTGAAATGGAGCTCAGTAGCAGACTGGACAAATTCATGAAGGAGTAAGACCATCAGCTACTATTGAACATAACAGTGGTGGTGCAGCTTTTGGTTCAGACGTTCTGACAGCACTTCTTACCAAACTTGACACTGGGAATGTGCTGCAAGAGAAGAGCATGCTCTGTTTTCTTCTGAAAAATCTTTTGTATTCTGTGATTGGCAACACTGGGCTGGATAGATGTTTACCAACTAACCATGTTTTTTTCATGTCACTTGGTGCTGTCAGTGCACTTCAGTCCATTCTCAATATGTAGCGATGATTCCTATGATGCTGCTTTGAAATTCCAGATGTCTCTGAGTGTAACACAGCTCTGTATCCCTCTCAGTTTTTCATCCTTCCTTTCTGCATAAGAGATGTGTGAGCAGTACCCTGGGAGTTTCATCTGTTTCTGCTGTCTGCAAGGAAAGAAAAGGTTAACCGTCCTACAAGTGACTTGCATTCACTTTGACTAAGTGAATAAGTTTTAAAATACTGTAGGTTCAGAATTTTCAGTCCTGTACTGCTTTGTGACGAGAGTTGCATTACTGAAGGACTTGCTATTTATATGAATATCTATTTTTAGTGCTAACGTATTCGAGTTGACACAGCTTCTAACTCAGTAATGGCAAAATAAAGCTTTTATATAAAACTGTAATTGAAAATACTTCTACTTACTTAAGTGAGATGATTCTTACTAATACATGTATGTGCAGGAAGCTTCCTTATATTTCATAATGTTTTGCAGTGTGATGTCTTCCATTCTGCCCAAATGCAGAATGTGTTTTTCACTTGCCATATCTCTTGGACAGGTGTTTTGCACATTATGATATATTCTCATTAATCATATGGGGATGAGTTTTAGTGAATGCAATATGGTTTTTGTTTGTTTTGCAGGCACCAAGTATAGATGAAAAAGTAGATCTTCACTTTATTGCATTAGTTAACGTAGGTGGTCATCTCTATGAATTGGGTAAGGACATTTTCTTATCTGCTCTACGTTTGTTTAAAGACAAATACAAGTAGTAATCTTGCTGACTATCAGTTTGAGACAAGAGTATTTGATTTAATGGAGGGCTTTGGTTCTTTTGCATTGTAGGCTTTGGGGGTGGTGGGAAGAGTTTCTATCAAATGACTGCAGCTGTTTTCCCACTGCTTTTTTTTGGATTCTTCTTCTTTCAACTTCTCTGTTAAGACAAAATGACACACAATATTAGACTGTCTCTGATCTTCTTTTATTATTTGCTAAGACAGGAAGCAAGAAAGAATTGATGAACGTGTATTTCTGAAAATACTGTTATACTTATGTCCTTAAATTGCTTAATAAATGTATTGGATGCAACTTTGCAAGTGTTAGCTGTATTATTAAATAGCATGATACAGTTAACATTGAAATTGTATAGAATACCAGAAGATAATAATCTCCATTTGTTATAGGCTGGTTACTTTTTAATCTGTCTTAATTTAGTTAACTTCAAAACAGTAATCTCTGTTTTCTGAATTGGTTAAAGCTATTTTTTCTTTCTTCAGATTGTTTAGCAGCAGGTTCTGCTCAGATATTCTCTAATGATTCCAATCTAAAACATGTTGCTGGGCAACCAGGCTTTGCTGCAGCCACTTCAGAAAACTATCAAGTAGATATGAATTTAAAAACTGCAAGTCACTGGTCATTCTTAACATATTTTTTCCTGGGTTTTATAGTGGGAACGCTTGCTACTTTTTTTTTTAGTCAACATTTAAGTAAGCAATGCCCTTAGCAGGTGACAGTTAATTATTACCTGGGACAGAAGCAGTGTGTTAGAAATGTTTATATTAATCCTAAGGTGAATCTGTGGGTTAATATCAATGATCAGTCACGAACTGATCATTAGTGCACACCTCTGTTTTACTGATGTCTGTCAGTGTACTACAGATCAAACAGTGAGGCAACTACTACTGTAATGTAATCTAAATATGTTCTGACTCTTAAACTTCAAAGCATGATGAATGGGCTTTGTTTAGCTGTGCGCAGCTGCTTCCATATTACTTTTTCATTATGCATAAATTTACTCAAAGAGCACACTATTATATTTATCATATTTTGCTATATTCTATAAGGGTGATACAAGATAAAAGCCACTTCAGTTTTTTATTCAATGAAAACAAACAAACAAACAAAACCCAAATGGGCATTTGGTTTAGTTTAGTTTAACTGTATGCTAGTACTATTTTCCTAGTTCTTAAAGTAACAAGTTCCCAAGTTCATAAAGTAACATCTCTCTGAACTAGCAGAAGAAAGCAAAAAATAAGTAAGTAGGAAAATGGGAGAAAGTTTTTTAGGTTCATTCACTGGTTTCAGTCACTGTGGCCAGCATGTGGGCTTTGGCAGTCAGAAAATGCTGGGAAACCACATGAATGCTAAATGCTTCTGATGTTTTTGCCATAGAAGACATGTTATTTATAGGCAGATGAAATTAAAATGTTATTCTGCCAAGTTGTATGTAAAAAATGTAATTAAATTTAGCTTGCAACCATACTGGGCATTCAGTTTGTTTCCTTGGCATGTTCAGAAGAATTTGTATTGTTATATCTTCAGTTCTGGATTTTATATGAACAAGAGGGTGTTTGTGATTCTAAATATAAAAACGAATTAACATAAAATCTATTTTCAGTTATGAAAAATGCCATTTGGATGTACTATTGATTTCAGTGGAATCTGTGAGGAAGGGAAATCTTTAAAAAGGTGGGCAGAGCCAAAAAGGAATTTGGTCTAGAGAACACTTAAGATATCCTGACAAATGTTCTCATAGCGTTAGCTCTTCATTTGTAACCTCAGACATATTTCTATGAATAGAATTGTTTTAAATATACTGAGAACTATAGTGTTGTTATATTGCAAGTGACCATTTTTTTAATGTTGTGAAAATACTTAATGCCTGGCTTATTGGAATTGTTAATTTGTTTAATTTAAATGGGAATAAGGTTTCACTTATGTTCTTTGAAGTTTAGTGTTCTCATGTGTCATTCAGTCCCTGATGATGGTCGTCAAAGATCACAGATACACAGCAGTCAGTCTGGGTAATTCCAGTGTCATTGAAATCATTCTTTCCCACTTGAAAAGCTGAAGTGCTATCCCAGCAGTAAAGAAGTTGCAATTCATAGCCTCACATTTTCAAATAAACCAGTAGAGGAATCACTTCAGGTATTTTTAATATAACAGAATGTGCATAATTGATGACTGTTAAAAAGTAATAATTGGAGGAGAAATTAGGGAGTAGTTGTTTGTGTGTTTGTGTGATGCTTTTAAGAAAAGATACTTTTAAGAAAAAGAAAGTGGCATCTTTGTAAGTGAAGAGCAAAAAAAAATCTGTTCATTTATTTTATTGGCAAAAAACTCAAACTTTTCTATTTTAATTTTATAAATTTATTCATCAATACTGCTTTATGTTTCCACAGATGGACGCAAGCCATTCCCAATAAACCATGGGGAAACTAGTGATGATTCTTTTTTAGAGGTAGGAATAGAAATTGCTCATAAGTGGTATACAAAATTCAGTCTTGTTATATTTATGGTTGGATTGTGATTCTGGTTGAAAGAGTATCATAATATGAGAACAAGGAAGTGTAAGAAGAGCCGAGCATAACAGAAGATGAAACTGGCTTTTCTTCTCTGATGAGATTTTCATGCACCTGATTTCAAATTCTGTATGAGGGAAGTGATTAAATTGGAAATATAATTTATCATTTTTCTTTTAGTTGACTTACTTATAGTTTAATACATGCCAAAGTAGAAAGAAGTTGATTTGCTTTCCAACACTTACTCCTTCTGCCCCTTCTTCCTTTCTAATAATCGTTATTATAGAATCACAGAACGTCTTGATTGGAAGGGACCTTAAGGATCACCTAGTTCCAACTCCCCTAGCACGGGGGCAGGGCTGCCCCCCACCAGCTCAGGCTGCCCAGGGCCCCATCCAACCTGGCCTTGAGCACCTACAGGGATGGGGCATCCATAGCTTCTCTGGGCAGCTGTGCCACTGCCTCACCGCCCTCTGAGTAATGAATCACCTCTGAACGTCTAACCTGAATCTCCCTTCTTTTAGTTTAAATCCATTACCACTTGTCTTATCACTATCAGACCATGTGAAAATTGTCTGGTCTCCTTCTGTAGTTAATTTTGTGTGCTTGTGTCAGGAGCTGTTTCACTGAGAAATTGATCTCAAAGGAATTTACATTTAATTGAGGAGGTAAACTGCTATCCTGACAAAATGATCAGAAGTTGAAGCTAAGAGAAATGTGTGCATCTGACTTCTGCAGTAACCAGACTGGGTTAGCTTTACAGAAGGAAGACACCAGAAAAACTAAAAAGAAAAAAGAAAAAACTAAAAAACCCAAAACCAACTCAAAATGTAGTTTATTTACTAATATCTGTAAAGTATGTATGCAGTTTGTGTTTGTTTGGGCAAGGGAAGAAGCTCTGTAGAGTTCTTTCTTTTTTTTCCTGTTATACTGATAACATGTGTTCTCCATATTGCACCCTAAAGCTAGATAAAAGAATTATTTATAATCAATCACTTACCCCACACATCTTTTGTTCATCTTGAGACAAAGGAAAAAACACAGAATAAAGCAGTACACTTCAGAATAAAGGCAAACTTCAGAGATGCATTTGGAAAGTCAGGCAACATCTGTTGCATGAAGTAATACTCAGTCACAAAACTCACTGTTCTGGTTTTGCACACAACATTTGTTCTCTTGTGCTAGAAATAATCCTGAATAGCAGTGACTCGGATCAGAAATGCAGTATATGTAAGTTTGTGATACTGTTTAGTAATACTTTATGGAAAACTACACATTGACCATAATTTGTGTGAAGTGTATCTTCGCGTTTCAGTTGCTTTTTTTGAGTAAGTGTGATTTTATAGTTGTGGCTGTTCTGTTGTTGTTTATTTATTTATTTATTTTCCCCATAGGATGCAATAGAAGTTTGCAAGAAATTCATGGAACGTGACCCAGAAGAATTAAGATTTAATGCAATTGCACTGTCTGCAGCTTAAAAACTTTTCCACTTGGGCTAACCTATTGCAATGTGTTGTAACAAGATAACTGTTGCTGTACGTTAATAGTACAAGTTTTGATACTTCCCTAACATGTCCATTAATTGTAGCACATGTGGAATAAACTTTGCATTTGTCCTTGATACAACTTGCTGCTTGTTCCTGAAGCAAATTCATGTATTTATGTACACGCATGCATTCTGTGCAAGACTTCTTTGTGGCGGGGTTTTCTCCTTCTACCCCCTTAATAGTTTTGGAAATCAGTGCCTGTGATATTTCATCATCATAATGGTGAGCTAGTTCAGAGTGGGACTCTAGCTCATGCCATTTTGCATATAATATTTTGAGTGGAATATGGGATACTGGGCAAAAACTTGAAATATGAGGTTACTTGCATCTTTTAATTAAAATAATACAATCATACTATAAGAACTTTTGCAGGTAGCTTAGAAGATAAAGCCACTTTTTTTTTCATTGAATTATTTATAAATACATGGAAGAAAAAGAAAGCCGGAACTGTTTCTTCTTACTGGTGCTCAGGAATAATATTTTTAAAATTCTTATATTTACGTTTTGAAGAACATTAATTTTGTTTTTCAAGCCTAATAATGTTAAAGCTTTTTAATAATTTATTAGTTAAACCAGTGTATGCGATTTGTATTTGTGGAAAAACAACATGAATTTTTACCTCAGAAAAACCAAGTAGTGATTAATGTGGTCACTAATGGTAAGACTGCACAGGGAACACACGAGTGAATAAACAAAATGAAGCATCTCACCTAACTGAAATAAATGCTAGAAAAAGTCATAACTGTTTCAGTGAAGTTTTTTAGAACAAGGCCACATTCCGTAGATCTTCAGATGGACGTGATGGCTATATACTTTTATTCCATGTAGGAATTTCTATTGTAAATGTGTCAGGTGGCACTGCTGACTGCTGTGTGATACCCTTCCCTTTCCCTATCCCGTGGATCTCAAAGTACTGTTGACCAATTTCTACACTTGAAGCAGTAATGATAAAACTTTTTTGTTTGCTTTTCTTCTTTTTTTTTTTTTTCTAAGCAATCTTGTGGTTTAGGATTGTTGTGCAAGTAAGTTTTGTTTATTGTGCATACTTCAGATAAGTATTTACTTGCTGCTTTGCAGTGAAATTATTGAGTTTGCTTCCAGTCAAGACCACTGCCAAAGGAAACTGAACTCTTAGTGTCCCATAGGTGCTTTCATTCTCTGTTAACTGTCATTGCAAGAAAAACAAATGGAATTATGCCAGAAGCAGCTTGGCAGAATTTTCTTTCTCTACAGAAAAAGAGGCCTGGGAGTCTGTATTATCACTTAAGAGCATCTCTGGCTCTTCTAAAGAAGTCAGAGTGTCTGTCTAAAAATCTCACCTGGAGAGTCCACTAACAACAGGAGTCTGTTTCCTATGAGTGAGCTGGCTGGAAAAGTGAGAGGGAAGAACAATACTAATGAGCTTCCACGTGGAGCATTTTCTTCAGCCCAATAAAACATACTATCATTAATATGTGCATTTCTCTTGTTGTGGTCATTAGTAAAGCCCTGAAACATGCTTTTAAATAAAAATCAAAGGCCTTATTAAATAAACAGAACAACTGTGTTGCCTTCCTGCTCATAATAGCAAAATCCGCTAAAAAGTGGTCACAGTATAATTAGGGTAAAGCACATTTTATGTTATAAATGTGACTCAGAGGATCACAGTTAAGAAACTAGAGGTATAGATAAGGTATTTTTACTGCAGGGAGAGGGTGAAGAGGAAAGAAGGAGAAGAATTACAGTTCAAAGCTACTTTAGTTATCTACTTCAGGGAAGTATTCACACATGCTTTTCAGTGCTCCACTGTTGGTATTCTTAGGTAATGTGGAGAATACATCTTTGTGCAATTGCTTATTGTAAAATCGCTTCAAAACTGGGGTTTTAATTGAGTATGAGGACTGATTAAGTGAAGTTATGATAAAGGAAAATTGGGGTTAGAAAACTAAAGTTGGGGTGGGATTTTTCATGATCACACTGGAAAAATACATCTTGGATATTAAGGAGAAGTTTATTTGTAAGAATTCTTGGTGTATTGGCTAGAAGGTTTGCAAACTTCAGATCAGTTCTCCTGCATAAGTTTCCCTTATGTCTTGCTTTTTTTTTTTCCTCTTTTTTCAGTGCACTTCATGTGCACATTCCTTGCACAGTTAGGTTGAAGTGTTGCTAGACCACACTGCAGTGTCCTACCTTGTGTGGACAGCATAGTGGCCTTCCTGTGCTGACAGGGCTGTGTTTTGACACACACACTGCCCACAGAGTGGTGGTCACCATCTCTGGAGGTGTTCAAGAAATGTGTAGATGTGGCACTGAGGGACAGGGGTTAGAGGCATGGTGATGACGGGCTGACAGTTGGACTAGATGGTCTTAGTGGTCTTTTCTAATCTCAGTGATTCTAGGTGTTGGCGTCTACCTAGAGAAATGCAGGCAGGAAGTGGATCTGCAAAATGCTGGAATACCCATGGAACTGAAAGGACGTGACTGAGCTAGGTGTCAGGAACATGTAGCTGCCATGTATCCTCCTGCCAGGTCCTGGCCACGGGCTCTAAAGGCTTACAATTGCCATACTTCTATGATCCATGTGTATTAGCTCAGGCTCTCTGAGAAAATTCTGCTGTTATGTCCAAAGTTGTGCAGCTCTGCCAGGCCTCGCCAGCTTTGTGTGTAGCATTGTTTGGCTGCAGGCATTCAGCGCTGGCGACTGCCAGAAAATGCCTCCTCAGCTCCTGCAGCTGGGGCTGTCTGTATGTAACTTCATATGGAAATGGTGCATGTAGGAGCCAGGAGGTGAGGCATGCTCAGCGCTTCTGTAATTCTGGCTGGGTGAAGCTGTGCTGCTATTAAGCACTCCGAATTGCTCAGACTCTTTTAAGTATATTGGCATAATTCTTCCCATGATACCACAAGTGCTTTGTTGAGAAACTGAGAAGGTAAGAACCGGAGTAATGTGCTTTTTCCCTTCAGCCATGGCTGCATCATTAAGATTTTAAACTGGGCAAAGAGAAGGTGTTCCTAGTAACCAAAATGCTAAGACATAGTAAAAAGGGAATGTACAGCTCACATTTAGAGAACAAATATGGACTTCCCTTAAGAGGGGAAGAAATCCGCCTTGATGGAAAATATTATATCAAATATTTGTAGAATGCCCTACGAAAAGAACGTGGCAGAGTCTAGCTTGGGTTATCCACAGGAGCACGCACAGGGAAAGGCTTTGTTTAGCAGCTCAGACTGATGCTATGTTTGCTGCACTTGACGCTAATAATTAGCAGTGGTGCCCGGTGCCTGTAAGCTTTTTCTGACCTAGGCCTGCGGTGACTTGTTAGTGAGAGCATTAAGCTGCTTTACTTGTTTGTGCTCACACAGAAAAACTGTATCTGTGACAATTTAAAGTTTGTTTTGAAAAGGAAATGGCTCGTATTGGAACTTCTGTTTCTCAGTGTGTAACTGAGAATCCTTCTGCTTGAGGATTTCAAACATTAATCATGTTTAAGTGATTTGATAAGCTATTAAGTGCATAAAACAACCAGAAATCAGAAATGCAGATTCTTTGCATTTTTTTTATTGTGGCTGATGTGACTTGGGGCAGGAAAGAGGAGCAGGAGAAATCTTCAAAATTACAACTTTTGTCATTATTTCATTCATCTCTGCCTCCATATCATAGAATCATAGAATCATACAATAGCTTGAGTTGGAAAGGACCTCAAGGATCACCAACCTCCAACCCCTCTGCTGCAGGCAGGGCTGCCAACCTCCTCATTTAATACTGACCAGGCTGCCCAGGGCCCCATGCAATCTGGTCTTAAACAGCTCCAGGGATGGGGCATCCACAACCTCTCTGGGCAGCCTGTTCCAGTACTTCACCACTCTCTCTGTAAAGAATTTCCCCCTGATGTCCAACTTAAATCTCCCCTCCCTCCCTAAATTTAAAACCATTTTCCTTTGTCCTGCTGTTATCCGCCCTTTCAAAGAGTTGACTCCCCTCCAGTTTGTAGGCTCCCTTTAGGTACTGAAAGGCTGCAATTAGGTCACCTTGCAGCCTTCTTTTCTCCAGGCTGAACAAGCCCAGCTCCCTCAGCCTATCTTCAAAGGGAAGGTGCTCCAGCCCTCTGATCATCTTTGTGGCCCTCCTCTGGACCCTCTCCAACAGCTCCCTGTCTTTCTTGTACTGGGGGCTCCACACTTGGATACAGTACTCCAGATGGGGCCTCACAAGAGCAGAGTAGAGGGGGACAATCACCTCCCTGTCCCTGCTGGCCACCCCTCTTCTGATGGAGCCCAAGATACCATTTGCTTTCTGAGCTGCAAGGGCACCCTGCTGGTTCATATTCAGCTTTTCATCCATCAAGACCCCCAGGTCCTTCTCTGCAGGGCTGCTCTCAAGGACTGCTCCTTCCAGTCTGTATGGATGCCTGGGATTCCACCAGCTCAAATGCAAAACCTTGTACTTTGCTGTGTTGAACCTCATTAGGTTCACCCAGGCCCCCTTTGAAGTCTGTTGAGGTCCCTCTGAATGGCATCCCTTCCTTCCACCATGTCAACCACACCGCTCAGATTGGTGTCATCAGCAAACTTGCTGAGGGTGCACTCGATTCCATCATCGATGTCATTAATAAAGATGTTAAAGAGCACCAGTCCCAAGACAGACCCCTGGAGGATGCAGCTCATTACCGGCCTCCACCTGGACATAGAACCATTGACGACCACCCTCTGTCTGCAGCCTTTCAACCAATTCCTTATCCATTGGGTGGTCCACAAATCAAATCCACATCCGTCCAATAAGGATGTGGTGGGGGACCATGTCAAAGGCTTTGCTCAAGTCCAGGTAAATTACATCAGTTGCCTTCCCTTTGTCTACCAATGCCATCACCACATCATAGAAGGCCACCTCATTGGGTAGGCATGACCTTCCCCTGGTGAAGCAGTGCTGGCTGTCTCAGATCACACACTCATGTGATCAAGCATGTCCAGGAGGATCTGTTCCATGATCTTCCCAGACACAGAGGTGAGACTCACCAACTTGTAGATCCCCGGGTCCTCCTTGCTCCCCTTCTTATAAACAGCAGTGACGTGAACCTTCTTCATGTTACTCAGGTCCTCAGATGCCTTAACTCCTCTCAATGGTATGATTTAATGATATCATTTCAGTGTATTTGTAACTTCAATAGATGTGAGATGTCTGCTGTGGAACTTCAGTCAAAATCATTGGGTTTCCATGCTTTTGTGTACTGCTCAATCCCAATCCCCATGTGCTGCAATATGATAGCTGACACCTCCTTGGGGTGAGTGTGTTATCTCTGAAGATCTTCGCTCCTGTTCTAAGGATGCTGTCTGCAAATCAGCAGTGAGATGTGCTTCCAGGTAAGCAGCTAAGGAGAAGCTGATTCGTGCACAGCACATGTTCTGTTTTCTCCTTGTCCTTAAAAAGAGAACTGTATTTTGCCACTAACCATACACATAAGAGCTGCAGCTGGCAACTCATTTCTGATTACAGAAAAGTTAGAGAAAGAAAAGCGTTATGACAAGCTGAAGTAGAAAATCATCTTAATAAATCTTAAATAAATGGTAAGTACTTCTTAAACACACAAAACTCTAGTGCTAGCCTTGGCTACATTAGGAAACAGCTTTTTTCTTGATCTTTCACTTCTCTGCTGTGAGGGTGCCCAACCCCGCACCCTGTTCAGCTAGCATACCTCTGTTTCAGCAGCCAGTTCAGAGCAGAAGAAGCTTTGGAGCAGCGCAATCCCAGCTCCCCTATGGCTGGGGTTGCTGTAGGGCCCAGCCATGCATTGACAGTCTGAGGGAGCTGGGCTTGTTCAGCCTGGAGAAGAGAATTCTCCAGGGAGACCTCATTGCAGTCTTCTGATACTTAAAGAGAGCTTATAAACAGGAAGGAAACCCACTTCTTACACAGGTAGATAGTGATAGGATGAGGGGGAATGGTTTTAAACTAAAAGAGGGGAGATTTAGATTAGAGGTTGGGGATATTTTTCAGTGAGAGGTGAGGCAGTGGAACAGGCAGCCCAGGCTTTGGGTGCCCCATCCCTGGAGGTTGGATGGGGCCCTGGGCAGCCTGAACTAGTGAGTGGCAGCCCTGCCCACGGCAGTGAGGTTGGAACTAGGTGATCTTTAAGGTCCCTTCCAACCCCCTTCTATGGTTGAGCTGGGAGGAGAGAGGCTTGGCACCAGGTCTCAGATGTTTAGCTCTGGGAGTTATGGGATCACTGTTGGAGAGAAGTTCTGAAGAAATAGCGATGCACAGGGGAGGAGACAGAATTAAAGCAGTGGTTTCTGTGCTGTAAGGGTGGTACTGAAACCAAGAGCAGAGCTGGGTAAATGGCCTTCAGGTGCAGCAGGAAGCACTGGAGCTGAGCTCTGACCCACACCTGAGCTTCGCCACTTGGTGCACAGTGGGAGCTCGCAACGTGGCTCCCACGCGAGGTGTCGGTCCCTCGCCGTCACCGGGAGCCGAGCTCGGGCAGGAGCAGGCCCAGGCCTGGGGCGGACGGCGGGAGCTCCGGGCCGGGCAGGTGGCGGCGCTGAAAGGTGCGATTGTGCCCAGCAATTCCCGGTATGCGCCGGGGCCGCCCCCGCCTGGTGGGCAGACGAGGGGCGCCGGGGGCACGGGGGCGGGCGGGGACCGCGGCCCCTCAGCCCCTCCCGGACGGGCGCGGTGTTGTTTTACAGCGAGCGGCTTCCTGGCATTCCTGCGGCCGCCGAGCGCTAGCGAGCTCCCTGCCGGGAGCGGGGGGAGGAGGAGAAGGAAGGGGAGGAGGTGGAGACGGCGACGGGAGCGTTAAAAGGCGGCGGCTGAATGACAGCGGCTGTTCCGCGCGCCCGTCCCGGCGGAGGACCGAGCGCTCGCCACGCACTCTTTTTCCCAGCCATGGACGGCAGAGAGGATGCCGAGTGCGGCTGCGAGGCGGCGTTCGCAGAGGCGCAGAGATGGGTGGAGGTGAGGCGCTGCCCGGTATCGCGTCCCCCGCCCCACCCCGGGGCTGTGCCCCTCTGCCTATCCCGGGGCTCGCTGTCTCCCCGTCCGTAGCGCTGCACCCCGCCGAACAGGGGGAGAGCTCCCGAGTTTGTTTCTTTGCGAACGGCTGCTGCTCTCAGCAGGCGTGTGGGTCTTGGCCCGCTCCCCTCCCCAAATCTCCTTAGAGGCCGGCGGGGCTGCGCGCCTGTAACTGAGGCTCGTGATTTCTGATTGTGCTTGCCGTTCTCTGAAGTTATTTCTTCGCCGCTCTGAGGCGGCTGGGATTAGAGGCGCTCCTCTTCCTGCCGGTGAAGATTTTAGGAAGCACTAACCTGCAATCACGGTCGCCTACTTTTTTTTCCCTCTCTCTCTCTTTTTTTCCCTTTACTTTTCTTTCAAACGCTCTGACTGCTTACAGCCTGACATAAGCGCGTGCCTTCCTGCGCTCGTTGCGCGCGTTGCGCGCGGTCGTTCTTTGCAGCGGGGAACGGCTGCGAACGGCCGCACCTGAACGCGGTGTGGGCACAGGCGGAGCCGTGCGGAACGGGGCACGCCGGGACAGCTTATGCTGTTGGAAGGACGTTGCCTCTTTCTAAAGAGCAAACGTTCAAAGGAGGGTGTTACTCGTTCTTTTTAAGCCACGTCTTTGCGGGCTTTCCAAAACCTGAGTTCGGGCTGCTTGGTTTTATCTGTAAAACGGTGACATCTGGTGCTTAAAGTCTACCGGCAGAGAGATGTGAGCCCAGCGCCTGGCACGGGTGTCATGAAACTGCCTCAGGTGCCCGGTCTGTGCTTTCCGTCTGTGGGTTTCAGCAGTTAAAGTAGTCCTGATTTTCCCGTGTGTGCAAGCTCTATCCACGAGCCTAAATCACTAAAAGCAGTCCTCTCTCATCTGTGTATTTCTTGCACTGCCTCTTCTTAAATTGGTAAAGCTTATTTTAGGTGATTATGAAATGGTGTACTGTCATGAAACTACTGTTTTAAGGGCTCATTTATTTATTTTATCCACTTGCTGTTGGCTGACTGTAGCATTCAGCAAAGCATCTTTCCACCAACCAGCAGCACATGGGAAAGATAGCCATGCTATGGATGTGTGAAGTTTATGCTCTTGTTTCTATAGTAGAAAGTCGGCATGCACTCAGCTCCCTCCCTGCCCCATCGAATGTGCACCCTTATACTTTGTTTCTGTGATGTGAAAGCTTTTCTCATTTTAAAATGAGAAAAACTTTTAAGCTTACCCCCTGGATAAACTTTTATTTTAAACAGTGACTTGTAAACCTGAAGGTATTGATAAACAGGATGTTAAAAATTCTGTAGTGTTGAAGGGAAATGTAAATATTTATTTCAGTATGAAGTGAGGTTTCCATTTCAGAGGGTCTGTTGTATGGCTCTGCTCCTTAAATCCAGACAGACTGAAAACACACAGCCAACCATTTCCGTTCTATAGGAAGAATAAAGATATTTTTAGAGTAATGAGACGTCCTGAGGTTTTGTGAGCCTTGGTGCAAGCTCTGATACACGTGTGATTGAGAGTGAAACCTGAAGCAACCCTCAATCCTAATGATTCGGCAATTAGTTCTGAAGGTCAGGCAGATTCCCAAATATTTATAGGCTTTTGAGTGTTTCGGTAAGGTTTTTGCGTGCCAGTTTCCCCTAACTCTAGAGCAAGATGAAAGCGTGCAAACACTACCTCATATATTTTTAGGACAATAAGCAAAACGAGCCCTCTGTGAACTCTTCATGCTTCGCTTTGCTAATAAAATCAATGTTGGCATACTTCTGTATTTCAATAAAGAACTTCTTATTTTCTCAGATTTAAAGAGAAATAAATTGGTTAGCCTGAGCTCCAGCATTGAAGCTGAGGGTGATGTGCGTTTCTGCTACGGGAATGAGTATTTACCAGGGTGGGAGGGAAATTAAACTGAAAGGGGAAAGATTACTTTGTTGTTCAGGTGTGTTTTATGATAATATAGATGAAGCCTCTAGTCTTTATGAAGCTACATCCCCAAGCCTCTTGTAAAAGAGTTCTTGTGTACTGTGGAGAACTGGTGGGGAGTGCTGCTGCTCGTCTAGGTATACAAGCTTCTAATTGGGATGATTAGTCACTCTTGCAAGGTTGATGGCCTCTCACATGGGCTTCAGTGAAAGGGTAGTTATTTTCTGCGCAAAACTGTGAGTCTTGTCAGGTGCTCCCATGCTGATGGCTTTTGTGGAGCCCAGCCTTGTTCGGTGCTGTTGGGTTCTTGTATCTGGGCTTTGGGGTCTTCTGAGCTGTGCACAAAATAACTGCTGCTCTTCAGAGTCACACACAGCTTGACCTTTTTGGAGCACCTTGCCTGGGCACGTGGTGTGTGCTCAGACCTGAACAGAGCACTGAAATAACAGCTTAGGAGCAGGCACTGTAAGGTAGAGCTGTGTTTGCCAAAGCTAGAAATAGCCAGGCTTTATATAATTTTACAAGGTTCTGTTCTGTATTATAACTTCAGAGAGCCAAAGCTATTCCTCAAAACCCAGCCTTCTCCTCCAGCTATGAACTATCCCACACTGCCAAGGCTGTTTCCCTGCAGACAGTCCAAGATGTGGGAGGGCAATCCAGCCTCTTCCTCTCCTCAGACCCCCTCCAAGTCCATGTATGCACTAATTGCTGGAACGTGGGCCTTCTCCCTAAAACACCCAGTACTGTGTTAGAGGAGCTCAAGTGGGCTGTTTTCTTGTAAAACCACTCTGCTTTCCACTCATGCTCTGTCTTTTAAATGAGCCCTAATCTTCAGGTGAATGTCTATGGTTTGAAATTGTTTGCTGAAGTAACTTGAAACCTGACCCGAAGTCTGTAAATCTTTACTTAGAGTGCCCTGGGGCGAATATAGCTTGGATTTCTTTTTCCTTTTTTTTTTTTTTTTTTCCTTCCCCCAGAGCAGCCAAATGCATGCCATATACAAATTCTGTCTGAGAGAGAGTGGGAAAATGGGAAGAGTGCGTGTGCCTGAATGAGTTGCTGGAGTGAAGCAAAGCAGCTCCAGGAAAACCAAGCAGAGAGACTTACACAAAACCATTGAAGTGAAAACAAGGTGTTGGACCAAGCAACTTTAAGTATTGCAAACTGTTAGACAGCCTCTCAATATCTGATAT